GTGTGCAATCATACCGATTCACACTATACTAGATCCCTTTACACATATATATATATATATATGTCTGTAACTGCCTAGCCTGAACCCTAAACCTTAATGTATTCTAGTTTCTACCCAAGGCCTGATTGATCTCCAGACTGTCCCTAGCCATCTGGCTGAAGAGGGCGGCAACGGAGCGCCACTGACGTCCCGGGCCCAAGGACGTGATGGCAGCGCTGCGGCTGAATTCCTGGGCCAGACCCAGGTGGTTTTGACATTGTCGGAATTCAGACGTTCATGCCTTGTCTAAATCCGAGTTGAATCAATCTACGGGAAAGATTCTGCTCAAACGCATGGTCCAGATGCGTTCGGGGGAAGAGAGCTTGGGCGCAGCGAGAGCAACAGGTCTTGCGCTGCAGGCCATCGGGCGGGCTGCACCATGCCCAGAAGAGAGGTTCGAGTGATGATGTTGGCCCGAAGTCCGAAGAATCTCAATTGTTGAACACACTGAGTTCCAAGTTGCCAGTGGTCGGCTCTCCCAAGCACGCCCACAGCTACATTGTGGGCAGTCACATCCTGCGGCTGTCGGAGGTGTCCCAGCAAGCAAACCCCTAGTTGCCAGCTGCGAACTGCGCTGCTCGACAGTAACGCAAGGCAGATGGAGGCATCCACCTCAAGGTTGAGTTGCAACATCTCGTAGAAGCTCTTCAGTGCCCGCACCCAGTCACTGCCGCTAGCCTCGATCATACTGGAGTATGTGAGAATGCTCACTTCGATGCTGGTCTCCTGCATCTGCCCGAGCAAGTGCTCAGCCTGCACCCAGTGCTGCGCTTTCGCCAAACAGCTCATCACCATGTTGAGGTGTGAGATTGTTGGCTGCAGGTGCACATCCACCATTAGAGCCAGAATTCCCACCACTGATTGCCAGGAGTTGGTTTGATGAAGCATGGACAAAGAAGTGTTGAGTGTCACTGCATCTGCTGCTATGTGAAACTTAGGCAGCAACAACAGGATTTGCAAGCCTATCTGCCATTGAGTAGCAGAAGAACAAGCCGACAGCACGGCGTTGCCAACAAAGGCATTCAAGTGATGCTTGCGCCGCGAGGAATTGACGAGATGCGCCACTGCCACTTGCCAAAGAGAGCTCTTCCCGCAAGCGCCAACTGCCGCAGACATGCTGACAGCGTCAGTATCCATCTTGGAACTCTGCATGCTGTCCAGGTAGGAGGCAGCTTTCCGCCACTCGCCTTCCATGTCGGGAAACCGATTGCTAGAGGGCGCATCGGTTCTTACTTCCTAGGAGAGATGGTTCACAGCGCCTGTCCATTTTACAGCTGTTTTCCGATTTGTTACCTCTTTCGCGCAGCTACACCTGAACCTGCATGCCACACAAAGCTACGTCATTATTCTACTCATACAAACTGCCACAACTTGGCCTGAGCGGATCGAGGAGATGGCAGCATTGATGCTGACTGTATTCACCCGCAAGCTGTCGAGACCTGCACGCCCGAGGAGCTGTGCAGCTGATCTCCACTCGAAGGCTTCTCCATACGTGCTAACAGCCGATCCAATGTTCGCCATATCAGCCTCAACCTTGCAGAAACTCATCTCCTGCAGCAAGTGAGTCATTAGAGGCCACTGCTTCTGTGACCTGCTTGCAGATATACCTGCACTGTATGTGACCGAGTCAGGCAGTACCTGCAGCAAGCGCATTACTGAAAGCATGGCGAGCACTTGTCCCCAGGTACCCACCTTTGCGATGGAATCCGCCACCGCATTAAAGCTGATGGCATCAGCCAACACCTGAACCTCAAAGCGCTGGTCTAAGATGAACATGGCGATGGACCACTGCTCTGCGTGTGCAGCCGCACTGAGCACGGAATTGTAACTGCTGGTTTCGCAATTCAGTCGTGAAGCACACATTTCCTTCACCAGGCCATAGCCGCGCTCCCACTCTTTTGATTTAGTAACTTCGAAAATGACGGCATTCCAATGGATCGAGTTTGTTTCCACTTGCTCCAAAGCCATGCTCTGCAGCACAGCCAAGGCCACGGCCACCTGCTTTCTCGCCAACTGCCGAAGCACCACGGTGGCCAGCTGAGGAGCGGACCTCCAAGCAGGAAAGTAGGGCTGCAAGGTGTCACAGACTTCCCGTGTGGAGAATGGCTTCTGCAACGACTCCAGGCTCCGAATCTCTGGCAGCTTGCTGCGGGCCATTTCGCCGTCTTCATCCTGAACGCTAGCCCCCTTGGAAGGTGACAGGTGGATCTCCGGTCAAGCGCTTGCATGGATCTGACGGGCTTGAGACCAACGAGGAAATGCTGCGTGGCCATGGAAGAGCAGTCCAAGAACAGCTGCTACAAGACACAGACGCTCCCAAACAAGGCATGCCCTGCAAGGTCAATCGAATTGCCGGCCAGGAGCTAGAGTTGATGGCAAACTCCTCAGATGCTCCAAGACGTACATGCAGGCAGCAGGCTTCTGCTCAGTCTAAGACTTCCTTCAAAGCTTCCCTGGCAAGCTTTAGCCAGCTGCTATAGACTGTTGAGAAAACTCTCCTAGGCAGACTTCGCCCTGGTTACAATTGTCTAAACTCATCCAAGTCTCGATGACGGATGCCTTTGTCAACCTGATCTGATGCGCGAACGTCGCAGCTGATCTATGCCCTGATGCTCGGCTTTACTGGGAGAGTCGTGATGCAAGCGGAGAAGTGCTAAACCAGCCCTCCACGCTTCCCTGGCTCCTGCACTGATCAACCTCAAGCAACCTAGCCAGGGCAATTCCTTTTTTGGCTGCTCCTGTCGGCTTCCAGGCCTCAGGCCCTACACCTTCTTTTTTCAGCAGGTAATGCAGTCAAGACCGGCCCTGCATAATCCGGGTAGCTGTGGAGAAAGACTGCTGATGATTTCTTGCATCCTTCCCTGCAACTCTTTCACTGCGCCCGCCTGCGAACCTCCAGCTCTTGCATACGTCATTCACATGTGATATGAAAACTCCTGACATAGGTAGACCGAGCAGCACGAAGAGCCGGGGGCGGTGATCAGCTTTTTGCTCAGCAGCAAAGAGTCCAACCCTCAAGACACTCGGCCATGTGCTTCCACCAAGGTACCACACAAAAAGCATGGTTGGACAGTGAGTTTTGAAATCCATCGCCAGGCTCATGCATGCCTGTTGGACAATGATCTTCTGCCAGCCCAGGTGCCGCGGTGCTGGGCCCAGGGTGGTGACGGTGGCCGCAAGGACTTGCTCCTGCAACATCTTCACAAAGCCAGCAGGAGTTCTGGGAAGGCAGCGGCATGTCCAGCTCTCGCCTGACAAATACTCATTTGACATTTTTCGCTTGGCTCTGCAAGTTTTACACAAGGCAGTGCCCTCTGCCAAAACATGTTGAAAATGCTTGAGAGACCAACATTAAGTCCTCCTTTGTCTGTGCGATCACCAGGTTGCGGAAGCTTGGATCGGTTAGCACCTTTCCGCGAGCTGCTAGCAGGTTGCATAAGCTTCAAGAGCTAGCTATGTGTCAGGAAACATGTCTCAAACGCTCGTGGCTGCACGAAGCTTGAGAGACTGAGTGCTGTGAGTGACATACTGGTGACTCTGCATTCGACTTGAGACCAAGAGTAGCCACTTGATGGGCACGTTCCTAGCCAACAATATGGTTTGCCTCCACCCTTCACCCTAATCTCTCAGCCTGGAACGCTCCCACCTCGATTCGTCTTACTTCATCGTTACGACTGCTGCTGCTGGTGATGTGATGATGATGGTGATGATGATATGATGATGATGATGATGATGAGGCTGCTGGTGCTGCTATCACCCAATACAAGAAATGATCCAAAAATGGCATTGCTATGTTCTATTCAACCCTGCATGGTCAAAGGCGCTGGGGGGCCCTCGCCCTTCTCGTCCTTCGAAGCTGCATAAGCGCGGAGGCAATCTGCCATGATATCCCGTCGGTCTGCTAAGTGGAAGAGGTAGACCTCGTACCTGCGTGGATGATAAGTTTAAGGACATTCATGGTGATACTCATCTTAGCTTCCTGGCAGTCAAGTCAGTCACATAACATGAAGATAGCCGCCATTGACTTCATTCTTCGCATTTTCTCAGTATCATCACTGGGTCAGTGATCAACGACTGTGTTTTTTGCTAATGCTGATGACCGTTTGATGACAACTTATGTCACATAACTGCGCTTAACTAGCTGGCAGAGCAAGGCAGCCCTCCCAAGTTCGGATTCGCCAGCCTTCATGAACTACAGTTGCATACGCTGCCAAGAACCTATGCTAGCAAACAGCTTCAGCAGGGGTACGGGATATATGCTTGGAATACAAACAAAACCGCACTCAAAACAGGAAGAATGACCATAAGGCACAGAAAACGATCAGGAGTGACAAGACCACGCAGGACAACAAGAGGGCTGCGAGAGATCGCGCTCATTATCAAAGTATAGCAAGAATTGAGGTGCTCATGATAAACTCCGATAGCTCTCCCAGGTGCTGGATCTCGTTCGCGCTCCGAGGAGAATCAGTTTCGTACAGGCGCTTGCCCTTCCCTTGCCACTCCAGCGCCAGAATCCTAAGATGAAGTTGTGGAAAAGTGTTTTCAAACAGGAATCCTTCAGGATCCCATTCGCGGTTGAATCAGTTTCCATCTGCATAAAATCATGGAGGGTGGGCTCCCACACACCCGCTCGGAACATCCCAAGAGAGCTGCTCAAGCTGCTGACTTGGCGGAGCTTCTGCGACCCATAGCAGCGCCAGATCCGCACCAAGCTTGAGTACTCACGTTCCCAAACGACCAGGGGCTGCCGCGGGAACAGTGTCTCCTACCGACGGGAACTTGGGCTTCAAGCAGCGAGCATAACCCATCTCTCGAAATGCAAGTAGCCCCACAAAAGCTGCAAAATCTGTGTTCTGAATCGCAGCCTGACTATGCCTTTCGGTTTCAGATGGCTTGGGGTCAATGCCAGCGTATCACCTACCAATGTAACGCAATCATGTTGAATACATGGCCAGGCTGACTACGGAAGCCAGGAAACTTGGCGAGTTTGGGGGAGCGACAGTGCACATTAGGGAATCTTGTAGAGTCTTCGCCTACCCTCATTGAAGCCTGCCCCCGTTAGCTTACTTTTTAGCAGCGAACATAAGGTAATAAAATCCCTCTTCAATCCCTGTAATAATGTACTCCCTCCCTTACTCCCTAGTGCCCCCCAGTCAGTATCATATCCTAGTATAACCCCAGTATAGCATAGAAGTTTTCATTTTCCTTTCCATTGTTCCCAGAAATACTAGAAAATTAGGATCCACACCCAGCAGGGTCCCAGTTCGGATCCCAGCGCTCGCCAAGCTCCGCAGCATAGGCCGGCTTCTCACGGCTTGGCTCCAGAAGGAAAACCTTGAAGTTCGTGACCACCTTGGTGCAAATTGGTCCAATGGTAAATTGTATCTTTCTAGCTGAAGTTTTTGCTTGGACCCTAAGCCCTATAAACGTATATCAAGCCCCAACGCCCCTCAGTCTGAAAAACTCTCAATTTCGCACCGGCAGCGTAGTCTTGACAGCTCTTCTTTGAGCTGATTCTTACAACTATTGCTGGGCTTAGTAAGGAGAATATATTCCATGTAGGGGTTGTATAGGGATCCTACTCCCCTATTCCCTACAAAGAAATAGTAAGAATATATATGACAATTCCCAGTACTCACTGGTGGTTAGTAGGGAATATGGGAATTTTACTTCCTATATAACCCCATATAATATCATGTTCCCTTATTCCCTACTAACCACCAGTAAGAGTACGCGGTATGCCCTCACTGTAGCCAGGACAGTACAGACGATCACTGCTATCCTCAACAGTCCAGGGCACCAGAAGATAGATGGTGAAGCTGTTGGATGTCTGGCTTTGCAGCTCCACGACCTCCATGTGCAGGACCTGTTGGTCCTGCCAAAGCATGTCAAACAGCACTGCAGTGCGCAGCTGCAACCTTTTGCTCAACCCAAGTTCATGATCCGGAACTGTGTTCTGACATTTGAAAGGTTGAAGACCCAGAAGATCCCTTCTCATGTGTACCTTGAAAGCCAGGTCTGTGAGAAGCACAGCATCTAATGCATCTGCTCTTGCAGTCTCGCACACCGACGCCTTGGTTAGGAGATCGTAGTCCGCTAGGAAGGTCTCCACATAGATCGTGAAGGCTCCCAAGTTAAGACCATTCCTTGGGTACTGCCAAGCCATTTTCACAGCCCCCCGCACTTCCAGATCATGTTCGCTAATTGTAAATTTATGCAAGAAAAGCTAGTTGACAGCCTCCCCACAACACCCTACTGAACGCCAGCACTTTTTCAGACCCTTTCCACAAAGGCGCCCTTCATTCTCAAGACATCCTAGACACTGCATGCCTTTTGCATCCAGCCTCCGCGCGACTTGCCGGCATTAAGGGAATTCTGTCATGTAGCACTGGTCTTCAGGTGAGCAAGCTTCTTAGAGATACCCATTGGGAACTATCTCATTTTGATCCTCAACCCCAAGCTGGCCCAAGCTCAAAGCCCCTGAACGCTTGCAACTTGAAGGACAAAGGCTCAGAAGCTCGCCAAGGAAACTCGGCCGCACGTTCTGCCTCTGCCCACTCAGATGTTGGAACTTTAGCCGCTTTAAGGCTGTGATGCACATCTACTGCCATGGCACGTCTACTGCCATGGGCTTCATGCTTCTTCAGGTGCCTTAGGGACTGTACCAGTAACTAGTATGAGGTACACAACTGCGAGACAGAAAGTTCAGAGTCTGCATGGAGAGGGGCGCATACTTCGCATGGGAAAGAGACGGGTATGCCAGCTCCTACACTTTGTCTCATAGTAGTCCCCCTTCGGGCTCCATGCAAATGGCTATCGCTGATTTGTTGCGATTGCGTTGCGTCGCTGCTGTTGGATTGCTCGTGTTGTGGTCTTCTGCCGAGCTGCGCAAGGAAAACCTCACCCACGCTGAAGACCTCCAGCACATCGTAGCGGTAATCCGTACAGCGAATTAGGATGTGTGTCAGCGCGGCCAGTGCTTGATCTTTCATGCCAACTCGCTTGTACGCATCCTTCACGAACCTTAATGGCGAGTTCCAGAGAAGACAGCCATACAAGGCAATGAAGTACCAGGAAACTCAGAAGGCTCGGAAGCAGGCTATTGAAAACAAACACCCCTGAAACACAGCGATTGCAAATCTTGGGAATCGTTCATGAGCATGAAAAGCGTGCGGGGTTGCCTGAGAAACTGTTCCGGCTTTGTCCAACCCAGCTCCTAAAGAGACTGACAAGAATTGGTGAACAATAGCACACATGATAAGAGGAAAAGGAACAGGAATCAAAGACCGGGAGACGCATGGTGGATGCCCCTGCCAGAACCTCCGCCAATGTCCAGCTGAAGCTCATAAAGGATCCTGGCTGGGACCAGCTACAGGTAGAAAAAGAGTTCACCGGACGAGGGCAGCCTTTATGTGGGGTGCATAGCGCTTAAAAGAACTTCCTCCTCACGAAGCCGCCAAAGTTGATTTAAAGGACAGCTATCGGTGCATGGTCGAACTTGGATTCATGTTAGTTTTAGTGTGAGTAGGAGGCGGACGGTGGGAATCGATGTACTAGGGGCTACATGATCTGGAGAGGTATCTTGGTTTTGAAATCCTTGGATTAAGTCAGGGGGGGGGGGGACATTGCCAAACCACCCAAATGTTGAGGGGTACCTAGATAAGACCACTGTGGTTTTGAGCAGGGCAAGTTATAAAACTAAAGACCAGAGTGAAATATGCTTACGGAGCCGTACAATGTACAAGTTGTTACAAGCTTGTCTACTCTCAAAATTGCACAATGAAAGCAGGCAAAAGAGTATTCCTCAAGGAATTAACTATGCCAATCCGCCGTTTGTGAGGCTTTTTTAGTGGTTAATTCCAAATGAGAGAACCCGTACGATTCGATCCCAGACCTCATGCAACAAAAAACGACTACCCATCTGCATGTCAATGACTCATTGGAGCCTCGCTATAAGAGCTCACAAAAAACGGCTCAAAACTTGGACAGATTGTCCGGTAGGGGAAGTCTCACTGATCTTGATTCAAGCAGAGAGACCCATCTTGGGAAATCTCGATTCTAGATGATCAGCTATTAAGCCATCTGATGCTAACACATGACTCACACAGTCTGCCCGAAGCATGTCCATCATACTATACTTCGAACTACTTTGGATATGAGAACCTGCATTGCGGCCCAAGGCAACATTCTGCCAAAACAGCTGAGCATCATTGCCACGAAGACCCTCACAGTGGCCTTGGATAACAAGGGAGCTGGAGTATCTAAGCAGTAGCGGCTTCAAGGTTCCCTCTCTACTTTAAGGATGATACCAAGGTTCCAGAAGTAGACCAAATTAAGTACCTGGGGTCACAGGTGGCATGGCTTAAGAGCTTTGACGTTGCGGTTTTCCATATGGCATCCCTTGCTGAAACTTCGTACAAAAAACTTGGACTAGTTTGGAACAGCTCCCTCAGCAAAAACGCAACGGTACGCATGTTTCAGTCCACCTTCAGGGCGGTGCTTGTTTATGGCTTGGACGTTTTCCCTTTGACCACTCCGCAGCTAATTTAGGATCGATGCTTATGATGACCGTTTCCTTCGTAGAATAACAGGCATTAAGGCTTCCTACTACTCAAGTTACTCAAGGGTTCCAAACCACTCAGTCTGGAGACAAGCTGGCTATCCTAAACTTCTTTCCACCCACATTTAAAAACAAAAAAAACTACAGAAGTCTTCTTCCTGCAGTTCACAGAACCTTTGCATAATTCATTGCTTTGCAGTTCTTACAGGGATCATATGGTTGACTAGGGCCGTAGGAGAGGAAAGCAATTCCCCTTTGGGTCGAAGTCGTTTCGAAGAAGTTTTAGGCTGAAGTACTGTTGATACTTACAATCCTGCATGACCCTAAGTACCTTATACCTTGGGAATAACGGTACTATTCGTATACTAACAGTACTATAATTCCCGAGGTATATGGTACTTAGGGTCATGCAGGATTTTTAGTATCCACCGTATGGCACGACCACTCCTTCCGGGAATCCCGCCCCCATAACTTTGGACCTCGATTTATAGTCCCCCTGAAGTAGATATAGGGGTTATAGGGGTTATATGGGGATAATGGAAAAGAAAATGGAAACTACTATTTAGGATTTAGGGTTTTGGGATTTAGGGTTATAGTCCCCCTTAAGTAGATAGAATATGGTGTATATGGGGATCCTAATATAATATACCCAAAGCCATATTCTATCTACTTAAGGGGGACTGTAAGTGGAGCTTGCCTGGAAGCTGCGGATAGAAAACGAGCAGGCGTCAAAGCGCGCAAGCACAGAACGCGCATGACCCCGGCTGCCATTTTTCCACTATCCCTATAAAATCCCTGCAGATCCCTACATATAAGCTGTAGTCTTAACTCTTAGCATCTCCCAAAATAGGCCTATGATACTCTCCTATATAACCCCCTCTAAGGAGTTTAGACTACAGCTCATATCCCATTTTCGGGGGCAATATCCCTTTAGAAACTTCCAAATGCCTCAGGCCAGGAAGCCGGAGGTACGAGCCAGTCCAGGCACTTCCTCAGCACTTTCTTCGGAGATTTCCCAAAGTTAGGAGTACCTTTGAAGGGGTCATAAGAGGGTTAGGGTTTAGGGTTTCCCAAAGTTAGAGGTACCTGTATTGGGGTCCATATAATAAGTAGTATAGCATGTTAGAGTCTACATTGGGGGGGGTCCTAGTTATGGAAACTACCATTTCAGGATTTCTCAGCATGAAGGGTTGCTTCTTGACTGTTTCGCATCCCCTGTCCAAGAGACATGTTGTATTCCCTTAGGCATCCCCGTCACCGAGTGATGCTCTCAGCCAAATGGTTCATTAAATCCTAAATTGCAAAAAAGCGGCTCGATGCACATTCGCTGGATGTCGGGATGATCCTGATCTGCCATCCAATGTCAGGCGATGTCAAGGTAAGCCGGGCTCGTTCGGAATCAAAGTTGCAAATGTGCATTTTGACTCGCTGGGCATGCACGAACCAGCGACTGGCGTTGGCCGGCAACCCGCGGCTTAGTACTGCACACAATGTTGGCACCCAGTGTCCGTTGGGCAAGTCTAGATAAGTAAGCCGAGGTGGCAACGTCCTCAGCAACTTGTGTCACTCAAACCGCGGAATCCCAGCATTCACCCACCACATCCTGATACACTTCCTGTGTATATCCAATCAAGTCAGCATATGAAGTGCTCTTACTCACTGCCGGCACCTTCCTGAGACCTCAATTGCGCGGCTCCCTATCAATATTATCCCAATATGCCGAAATGCATTAGAACAGACATGATGAACGGAGCATGTTGAAACAGCACGCTGCATGCATACTTACTTAGGCCCTTTGCAAGCCTTCGCACTGATCCTCGAAAACTGCACAGCAACCATTGCAAAATAGAGAGCGACTTCCGAAAACACAAATCCCTCCGACGCAGCCGTTCATGTTGGCAACCGCCCGCCCTTTTGAGCAGGGCACCCATGCCCTGCACCTTACGCAACAAACAATGTGCGACCCCCACAGTTGTTGCAAAGATGTCTCTGGTTCCTTCCAACCCAGATAACCCAATCTAGCTCAATTAAGGAATATATACCTTAAATTATACTAGAGCCCTCAAGTTGATTCACGATATATGGTAGTTTCCCAAAATAGTGGGATCCCAATATAGACCCCAAAATACTATATTCCTTATTACTGGGACCCCCAAAATGGTACCCCTAATTTTGGGAAACCCGCATATTCCTTAATTGCTGGGTATTCTGTTCCCTGGCAAAACAGATTCTCACAGCCCAAGCCGCAGGAAACCGGAAGGAACTGTTCGCGAAGCGCGGCACAGCTTCAACCAGGGTTCCCACAAAGCCTTGGCTGACATTATTGTTATTATTGTTATTATTCTTATTATTATTGTTATCGTTATTGTTATTATTGTTATTGTTGTTATTATTGTTATTCTTGCTATTATTGTTATTATTATTGTTATTGTTGTTATTAATGTTATTATTATTGTTATTGTTATTGTTATTATTGTTGTTGTTGTTATTATTGTTATTCTTGCTATTATTGTTATGATTATTGTTATTATTGTTATTCTTGCTATTATTGTTATGATTATTGTTTTTATTATTAATGTTATTATTATTGTTAT